CCTAAAAATCCCAGGTCGCTAGCTCAATTCGTTCTCGAGTTATCGTGACGACAGACACACACACACACACACACAGACAGACGCGAAACTTTTTGATCATCACTGGAGTAATAGGCTTTGCTAATCCCTCAGCCAATAAGTTTCAACCTTAACATACCATATAAACCCAGTCACAATACTCCAACAAGTCTTCATTACATAATCTACTCTGGAAACCCAAGTGTGTACATGAACGCAGGAAGTACTGCGTACTTGTTGGTATTCAGTATTTCCTGCGTACTTGGCCATGTATTCAGTATTTCCTGCGTACTTGGTCATGTATTCAGTCTTTTTTCTGCGTACTTGGTTAAGCACGCAGGAAATACTGAATACATGAGTAGGTACACAGATCACAAGGGATACCTGCTGGGTCGACACCACAGTATCAGTGCAGGAAGTAATATTTTTTGATAAAACGTTGACAGTAATACTAAATACGATTCAAAGTAAAATAATTGTTATAGAAACCTACACAAATTTGTAGTAATATAGCATAGATTCTCTTGTTGCAGATTCTAACAGCTTGTGATTCTTGCTTTTAGCTTATTCTTGTCGTGTATCGACCTTGACTTTCGATACTCTCTTCATGAGAACCTGCATATAACTGCCTGTGAATAAGAATAAACCAGTCTTCAGTCGGAAACCAGTTGTGACGTTACTCTCTGCCTGAACCAAGTCTCTCCCTGTCAACTGTCAGAGACACCACAGTGGCGACGAGGATACTACACGTGGTCGGAGAGGTTACGTCAAGTCAAGTCAATCGTCTAATCAAGAAAAATCATCTAGTCAATCGTCAAGTGAATCTTTAGTCAATCTTCTGGTCAGCATGGCAGCACCAGCATTCAACATCCCACCGCTCAGGTACTTCGAGCCTGCGGAGATTTCCGTCACCGGTTGGGTACAGCTCTTCGACGGGTACTGCACCCTTGTGAAAATGCCTGGAGAAGTTATCAACGAGAATGGTGTGATTCCACCCAACGCAAGAAGAACCCTCTTCATTCAATGCCTGGCTACTGCGCCATTTGTATACCTTCGTAAGGCCTGTCTGCCGAATACGCCTCAAGTTTTTCCAATCCCAGCGCTCATCCGGCTGCTGCGCCAGAAGTACGAGCCCCCTGGACTTGTGTCTACCAACCGGCTCCAGTTCAACCGGCGAGTGCAGCTTCAAACGGAATCAGCGACGGATTACGTCACGGCTCTTCAGGTCCTTGCCGACAGGTGTGAGTACGGTTTGCACTACCCTGAAGCTCTTCGAGATCAGTTGAGCTGCGTCTAACTCTGCTCAAAGCCAACAACCTCACGTTTTTCCAAGCAAAGGAGCTTTGTGAGAAAGATGATGCCCTTCGTAATGAGGTGCGTTTCATGGCTCAGCACATGGCTGGTCTCAACGCAGCTTCTTATCAACCTAAACAACCGTCTCTGAAGTTCAAGCCGTTCACTTACAGAAGAGAAACTCCACATGGTTCTAATGGCAGTTACAAGAAGCAAAATCATGAACAACCCCGCTCTACCTGGAATCCATGCTTCAGATGTTCTCGTAAACACGATGGACGGAACTGCCCTGCCAAGGATTGGGAATGCCACAAGTGTCACAAGAAAGGCCACATCTCAAAATGCTGTCCTCAGCGTTTGGTCAAGGTGGTTGAGCCACAGGTACCAGTTGCACCTCCGACGGCTGAACCTCCTCTGTCTCATCTTGGTCAGCAACCTCCACTTTCTTCCATTGAGGAAGAAGTTGAAAGACTCTTCCGTGTCTCCAAGGTATAGTCAATCTCTTATGTCACCTTTAAAATGAAAATAATGTCTGAGCTCTGTCTTTTGCCTTGTGCAATTTCTTCTGTCTACCGGTAGTCTGTCTTTCAAAAAAAAAAAAAAAGAAAAAAAAAAGAGGCTGTCTGTGATCACTGTCTTGCCTTACTGTCTTGTTTTAAAGTTATTTTTAAGTTAGTCTTATGTGTTTGTTAACGTTTGTCTTGTTTCTAGGAGCCAGTACAAGTAATCCTTCTGAATCATGTCAGTCAAAGTCCTCCAGTATTAGTCAGATTGTCTGTCAATGGAATTGAGTTGGAGATGGAAGTCGACACAGGTGCTGGAGTTACAGTTGTGAGTTATGCTGTCTATTTAAAATTTCTTAAATCATGCTCCCTGTCTCCTTCACCTTTTGTATTGAATTCAGTTTCTGGTTCAATCAAAGTCTTTGGACAATTGTCTGTCTCTGTCGCACTTCCATCCCAGCCTCCAGTTCAACTTATTCTTGTTGTCTGTGATACTGTTGCTCCTGTCAGGTCTCTTTTGGGTAGACCTTGGTTAGATGTCTTATTTAAGGATTGGAGGAAAGTCTTCCTTCCAGCTAACGTAATTTCATCTGTCTCCGACAGAGTGCAGCAATTGCAGCACATGTTTCCTAAAGTTTTTGACTCCTTAAATGATGATCCAATTACTCCATTCAAGGCTAAGTTGCTTTTTATAGGCAATGTCAAGGACATTTTTGCTCCAGCTTATTCACTTCCTTATTCATTAGTAGATGTCATAGATTCATTAATTGAAAAATTAGTGTCTTCCAACAAAGTCTTCCCAGTAACGTATTCGGAAAATGCATCCCCTTGTGTTCCAATCAAAAAGAAAGATGGGTCCTATAGGCTCTGTGTTGACTTTAAACGCACCCTCAACACCCAATTAAAGGTTCAACAATACCCTTTGCCTAGGATTGATGACATCTTTGCTTCCTTAGCAGATGCTTCAGTGTTCACTGTAATTGATCTTTCTGATGCATATCTCCAGTTGGAGTTGGATGAAGCCTCCAAAAAATACGTTACTGCGAACACTCATCAAGGCTTGTATAGATATAATAGATTAATTTATGGCATTGCCAGTGCCCCTGCAATTTTCCAACAGGTGATGGACTGTATCTTAAAAGGTATTCCTGGTGTAAAATGTTATTTAGATGACACTTTAGTCTGTGGTTCATCCTTGTCTGAATGCTGTGAAAGAACATCCTAAGTCCTTAGTAGGCTGTCAGCTCACAATGTTAAAGTCAATCTTGCAAAATGTCAGTGGTTCGTAAATCAAGTTGAGTATTTAGGTAACATCATTTCAAAAGAAGGCAGAAAACCATCACCTGACAAAATTCAAGCTGTTCTTAAAGCTAGGGTCCCTACGACCAAAAAGCAAGTCTTGTCTTTCCTCGGTCTATTTACTTACTATTTCCCATTATTACCTAACTTTAGTGCCATTTCAAAACCACTCAGACTCCTTTCTGATCCAATTGTTTGGGATGCCAGTGCTCAATCTTCTTATGATGAATGCAAAAAGTTGTTCCTTACCAGTGGTGTTTTAGTCAACTACAACCCTGAGCTACCAATAGTTGTCCTGTCAGATGCCAGTCCTGATGGTCTAGGTGCCATACTCTGTCACAAAGTAGGTAATACTGAACGTCCTGTTGCCTTTGCTTCTTGTGCATTAACCCCTTGTCAGCAAAATTATGCCCAAATAGACCGTGAAGCTCTTGGTATCATGTTTGCTATTAACAAATTTCATAAATTTATCTGGGGACGTCAATTCATTTTGGTCACGGACAATGCTCCATTAAGACATATCTTGAGTCCCGATAAGTCTATCCCTGTGTTGTCAGCCCAACGACTTCAACATTGGTCGTATATCCTTCAAGCCTATACCTTTAATATTGAGCACAGAAAGGCTGAGCTTATGTCCCATGTAGATGCACTGTCAAGAGTCCCACCACCTACTGAATTTTTTGATGACATTGCTTTACATTCTAACTTCTCGGAAGCATTTGAAATTTCATCCATAGCCAGGGATTTGCCCTTAAACTCGTCAGTCATAGCTGAGGAAACAAAAAGGGATCCTGAGCTGTCTAAACTTTCACTTCAATGTAAAGTAGGCTGGCCTGATTGGGATCGATTTTTAGATCCTTTGGTCAAACCCTTTTTCAAGTTGCGTGAGCAACTGTCCTTGGAAAAAGGTTGTGTGCTCTATGCTTCCCGAGTCGTAATTCCGAAAAGTCTATTAAAACAGGTTATTGAAATCCTCCATGAAGATGTTAGCCAGAAGTTCAGTGTGGTGGCCCTCAGTAAACGAAGATATTGAATCTAGAAGTAACTTGTGTCAACCGTGTTCCCTTGTTAACTTTTAGCGTTCTCATGACTACGTCCCATGGCCTGAAGCTAAAGAACCAATGCAAAGAGTCCATGTTGACCTCTACACCTTTAAAGGCATTCATTTCTTCCTTTTTGCTGACTCTTTTTCTAAGTGGATTCATGTGCAGCGTATGGTCCGTACTACTGCTTCTGATGTTATCTCAGTCTTGTCTACTATTTTTGCCATTTGGGGTGATCCTCAAACCCTGGTATCAGACAATGGTCCTCCATTTGATAGTTTTGATTTGATTGATTTCTGTACGGCTAGAGATATAATTTTAACTCATTCACCTGCTTATCACCCTGAAAGTAACGGCTATGCCGAGAGATCTGTCCAGATTGCCAAAAAATCTATTGAAAAAATGTTTTTAGAATACCAAGCCAAAGACTCAACTCACCTGCAGGTTTTCCCCATTGACATCTGTGATAAATTTAGTTAATAAGTTTTTATCTACTTATCGATATACCCCAACCACCACAACCCTCAGGTCTCCAAATGATGTTTTATTAAGTTTTAAACCCAATACTAGTCTGTCCCGTCTGTTGCCGAAAGTTCTCAAGACAAATGTCCAAAAATTCCGTGATGGGGAGGCGGTGCTTGTTAAGCTACAAAAGAGATCTCCTCCAATTAAAGGTTATGTGGTTCGCAGTCTGGGCCCAACTCGTTATCTTGTTTCTTTTGAAGGAGTAATTCGTGCACCTCACACCAATCAAATGGAACGGTGTCTTCACTATTGTGCTGTTATTATTTAAGAAAATATATGTACCTGTTATCTGGAAACTTCAAGACTGTTAGTTCTGTTATATAGTTTTTAATCTTAGTTTTAAATACAATGCATTGTTTTAGTCTGTAAGT